GACTTGATAACATAAAATCAGCGGGCATTTTTCGAGTTACAACATAGGAGGCAATCCACAATTTCTCCTCTTAAACAGGTAGTGTTCAGATTGATGATTGACTTGCGAAGTAGAACAAATATATGATGCTCATATATTTCAAAGATAAGAAGTCTTGTCATGGCCATTTGTAAAAATGAGGAGCCGTACAAAGGGATGAACTCGTTGGAAGCCGATGTCACTGAAGCATGAGTATCTTGCCCGACTGGGCTATCTTACCCGATGAGTGGTTGCCCGATGAAGTTGTAACCTTGCCCGATAGACTTGTCATTTTCTTCGCTGGTTTTTACATCATCGCCGGTGAAATCCATCAACCTCATCAACCCTCCCAAATCGATTTGAATAGCGAAAACTGGAGAAAGATAACAGAAGATTGATGTTGCAGAATGCCTGACTGGGCTTTCCTTGGAGTTGCCCGATGGATTTAAATCCAATTGGACATGATTTAGCGTCCGTTTTCGTTGTTGTTGTTCTCTGCCTTTGTTCATGGTTTGAATTTTATGCAATCAAATGTAAGACTCGAGTTTGGCGGAGCTCGGTATCAAAATCAACAGGCTAACTTGAATGGCTATGCGCATGGGCACCAGATGTTTAGAGCAAGGTAGAATGAAGCTAACTTTTTGGGTGTGGAGTCAAAATCTGATCGGCAAAATTTAATATTTAGAGGCTTGCTGGTACAAAAATCACAAAGAGGAAGTGGCATTGAGCATAAGAGTAATTTGATGAGATTAGAGGCTTCAGAATCCCTAATTCGTTGGTTAAGAGCACATAAATGGTTTACATTCCAGCACGATGTAGTTTTTGCCTAGGCAGCAATCAGAGATTAGTGGCATGCAGCGGTTACAGCGACAGGCTTCCTCAATTACAAAACAGGCTGTTGGTAACCACTCACCAGCTCTGATCAACGGTGTTCCCATCAACGAGTTGTCTAACAATCAATGGCCACCTAATCTTCTTGGGATTTGGGTTCTAAAATTAAATTGAATAGCCGGGGTTGGAGGAATGGTGCAAAAAACTATTTTTGAGTTTTCCCAAATGCCTGACAAAGTTTTTCTCGGTCCTTTAGCTATCCAAGCTGACGCCATCAAGGTAGTGTACTATTCCCATGTCTGCCACTACAACTGCCGTTGGTCCTCGATATGTTCCAAATGACCCAACTCTTCCCAAACCATAGCTCATGCTTCAATGGAGCAAACCTCTTCCTCAATAACCAGATGGAAATGTCGCGAGAGATGAATCTGTCAAAGATGAGGCGAGCAACGAAAAAGCCAAAAGCGAGGTAGACAACACGAGGAAATCCCATGAGCCCGAGGTGGCGTTGTGGCTCCAGAATGAATATATGAGTGGTGTCTTGAAATCGCAGCTCGGGCGAAGAACATCAATTAGCGGATCAAATTCCAGTATAGCTTTCGATCTCAATGGAATGGATCAATGAGCAACAATTGCAGGTGATATTCTTCCATTTACCAATCTTAGGGATCTCTATTTGCCCTAATTATCTCTCGGTACGGGAAGAGAAGTTTGGTTTTTGCTGGTAAGGGAGGAGAGTGTGTGAATACTGAGTATGTAAGGTAGTAAATGGGCGTTTGTTTGCCCGTCTTAGCTCTCATTGGACTAAATATTAGTCTGATCCAATGTTTGTTTCCTTGCGGAACTAGTGTTAATGAGATTAACTAGGACTCGCTTTCATTAGAGACGTTGCTAACCGGTCTTCACGAGTCCCCCCCCAAGACCACGGGATTAGCTAAGAACTTCGCTTTGTTCTACTTGATTCACCACCTTAACCTCGATTACGATGCCACATCGCATCGTCCTGCTCGATTCACCTCATCGACCTTGATTTTGACGGCAAAGGCTTCGGGCACGACTTCATCTCCGACGCCGAACTCATCAATTGCTTCATCTTCGACAATTACCTTGTCATCTGCGTCATCTGGGTCGGCCGGATCTGGGTCCTAGGAAGCCCAAAAAGGCTATGATGGGGGGGGGGGTGAGCTAATGGGGATCCAAAAATTGTTTAGATTTATTTTTAGTGGGTAATGTTTAATTTTTTATAGTTCTGATGAAATAATGATTGTTTAGCTTAAATTTGAGAGTGGTTTGATCAATTTTGGACCGCAAAATTGTTTCTTTGCTAAATTCGCCATTGATGTGTGTAAAGCTTTCATTAATACTGAACCAGAGAGAAAATGAAGAAGTTGAAATTCTCTCCGACTCTTATTTGCAATTATTTTGTTTTTGGGATTTATATATATGAGCGTGTGTTAATTCCAGATCTAAATGAAATCTGTCGAAGTTGAAATATATTTTGATGAAATTGAAATGGTTTATATCTTTGGCTTTTTTCTGGATAAAAAAAAATAGAATCTACAAATTTGAGAGAGAGAGAGAGGTGTATGGCGATGGAACTCAATTATAGAAAGATAATTTTTAGGATTTTGATTTTTGTGTTTTGGTTTTGAATATTTAGAATTGGTTTTATTAGAGAGATGTTTTACTTTTGAATATTTTGAATTGGATTTTATTGGAGAGACAAGCTCACAACTATGGTTTTTTCATGTTCAATGTTTTATTTGATTCTGGGTTTGAGTTGGACTTTTTGGTTTTGTGCTCGACATTCTACAAAAAGAAGGTGTGATAAATGGTGAGAGAGAAAAGGTTGGTATAAAAATATCAAATTCCAAAAATATTTTAGTCCGCTTGCTAGTTCGGCATTGCATCAAACACTTCATTATTCTTATACTGCTTAGTCCATGTTAAGCCAGTCCAACTTATTCCTTGAAACTAGTCCAGTCCGAGATAGTCCAGTGCAACAAACACATCCTAAGGGTCTCTCTCCCTGTCTTCCTTTTTCTTTCTTTTTCTCTTTTGTTTTCCTTTGGCTCGAAAGACGGAGATACCCTCTTCTCCTCTTTCCTTTTTTATTTATTATTTCTTTCTCTTCCTCTTTCTTTTCCTTTTCTTTTCCTCTCTTCTCCTTTCTCTTTCTCTGTGTTGATGAGTCAATATTATATTATATATTTTACCATAATCTTAGTATTAATTTATTGGTTATTTTGGTAGAATTGTGATACTTTGTTATGTATTTTCAATGTAGGACATTCGACTTCCTCTGAAGAAAAAAGTAACCAAACAGATGAATTTTGGAGTGATTCCAGTTAAAGGATGTTCGTGAGTCTTTCAAGATGATTGTATCAAAATTCCAGATTTTTCTACCAAGCCGTTTGACTGTGGTGAAAAATAAAGGCCCCACGCGCAGCTTTCCTAAATTGAAGTTTCTGGACGTTTTTGGTATTTTGGAGGTCAAGATGACATATTTTGAGAAAGATTCCTTCTAAGGATTTGTAGGGGACGTCTTCAGCTTTTAAAAGTGACCTTTTGGGACCAAATCAGAGTTGATTTGATGGGTCAAAAGTCTGATTTTCTGAGGGCTCTGAATTCTAGTTCAAATAGGAAACCCTTTATTTTCTGTTTTATCATTTAATTATGTTTCCTAGTTTTATTCTAAGAGTTTTTAGCCATTAGAAGGAGGGGAGGAGAAGAAACGCATGCATTACTCTAGAGGGCTTTTGAAGTTTATTTTCAAGGTGTTTTCTATCCATGTTTTCAATAAAATTCCTTTTATTTTATGGTTGTTCGTAACTAATTTTAGTTTGCTAGGGCGAGACCTTTTGGGAGCTCACTGGCTTCAGGTTCCATCGGAACTCCGAAGTTAAGTGAGTTCGCACGAGAGCATTCCCAGGATGGGTGACCCACTGAGAAGTTTTCGTGTGAGTTCCCAGAAACAAAACCATGAGGTGTGGTCGGGGCCCAAAGCGGACAATATCGTGCTACGGCGGAGTCGAGTCCGAGATGTGACATAAAGGCAAAGACTTAGTAATTCAAGTGATTGATTTATCTATTTTGCATCTGGATGCCGTGTTTAAATTTGATGCAAGATAGTATGAAAGGATAGAAACATGGTAGACATTCGGACTCACTCCGACCTTTCGCCCCACACAAAAAGTATCCTACAAAATTCTTGCATTACATGAAAACCTAGACCATGAAAATACTATATAATGGTAAAAAGAAATTATACACCCTACATCTCTTTAATTAAATATGAGCACATATCAAAGGTGGGATGACAATGGATCGAAGCGTGATGGATATACAATTCTCATCCCATCTCCGTTAAGCATTTTATTCCCATTCTCGTCGTCATACTCATTGTTTCAAATCAGGGATTCCCCATCTCCGCCCTCGATGAGGATTTGATTCCTCGCTTCACCCCATTACAAAATTAGAATTAAGATATGTACTTCAAGTCCACAAAATAATTGAGATATAGAACAATGCTAACAAATTCAGTTACAAAAAATTGTTTTATGATATATCAAGTTTACTAAATATTTTATTTAGGAAACTATAATTGACACCAAAAATCTAATTGTGGATTTTTTATAAGAGTATTTTTTTTCTTTCTAAAATATAAAAAATTTGACGTGTACAATTAAATTTTAAGAGTGCCAATAGTAATTCATTTTTTTTAATTGAAAAAAAAAGAGAGTAAGAAGTGAGCCACATTTTCATCTTTTTCAGTAACATATAAAGTATAATCTTATTTATATAAAATTGTAAGTACTGTATATTCTATATGGGGCGGGTTTGGGTATATAACCATATGCCACTTGTCATCTTTGTATTAGTTGAGTTTGTTGTAATAGTTAAGGGTGGTTTTGTAATGTCGTAGAGTGTGGTTTCTATACATCTCAATGTATCTCAGTCTCATGCAGTGAAAAGCCAAAATTGAATTCTCTTCTTCCTAGCTTTCCCGCTCATATATACCTTTCTTCCTCTCTACTTTCTTTCAACTCCTGTGTTAATAGAATAGGGGCACGTTTGTTTGACAGGATTAGCAAGGTTTGGACTGGACTAGACTATAGTCCTGTGTTTGGTGTGCAACCGGATTAGCTTTAATGGGCTTAGGTGGGACTTGCTCGGATTACACGCCTCCTTACGAGTTCTTAACGAAGAACCCCAATTTTGGACGGACTCGTAAGCTCGGAGAGAAAACCACGAGGATCCCCAACGTCCTGCTCGTCCTCATCTCTGCGAGGATCCCCAACGTCCCTCGTCCTGCTCGTCGCTCGTCGTCGACCTTGCCCTGCTTCCTCGTCGTCGTCCTCCTCACCCTTATCTCTGCGTCTTCTCGCCTTCATCTGGTCGGAGACAGTCTGGTAAGCTTCAAATCTTCGATTGATTTCGTCGAATTGAGATTAGAATTTGGGGTTTTCATATTTTTAGTTCAAATTGAGATTAGAATTTGGGGTTTTCGTATTTCAACTTTTCTGGTAAACTTCAAAATCAATTTTTAGGTCAAATTGAGATTAGAATCTGTGTGTGTAATCTCTGTGTGTGTCTGTGTGTGTGTGCGTGTGTGTGTATACTATGTGTGTGTGTACTCTGGTTTGTCTGTGTGTGTGTGTATACTCTGTGTGTGCGTGTAATCTCTGTTTGTGTATACTCTGTGTGTGTGTGTGTAAGTGTAATATGTGTGTGTATGTAATCTGTGTGTGTATACTCTGTGTGTGTGTAATCTCTGTGTGTGTGTGTGTGTATGTATGTTGTGTGTGTGTGTGTGTGTATGTATGTATGTATGCAATGTGTGTGTGTGTGTGTGTATGTGTGTATGTATGCAGGGTGTGTGTGAGTGTATGTCCGTGTGTGATAGTGTGTATGTCCGTGTGTAGTGTGTGTGTGTGAGTGTGTATGCAGTGTGTGTGTGTGTGTATGCAGTGTGTGTGTGTGTGTGTATGCAGGTGTGTGTGTGTATGTATGCAGGGTGTGTGTGAGTGTATGTCAGTGTGTGAGAGTGTGTATGTCCGTGTGAGTGCAGTGTGTGCAGCTGACCAGTGTGTGTGTGTGTGTATGTGTATGTGCCGTGTGTGTGTGTGTATGTATGTATGTAGTGTTGTGTTGTGTGTGTGTGTGTGTGTGTGTGTGCAGTGTGTATGTGCATGTGTGTGTGTGTGTGTTGTATGTATGCAGTGTGTGTGTGTGTATGTATGCAGTGTGTGTGTGTGTATGTATGCAGTGTATGTGTGTGTGTGTAGTGTGTGTGTATGTATGCAGTGTGTGTGTGTGTATGTATGCAGTGTGTGTGTGTGTATGTAGTGTGTGTGTGTGTATGTATGCAGTGTGTGTGTGTGTATGTGTATGCAGTGTGTGTGTGTGTGTGTGTATGTGCATGTGTGTGTGTGTGTGTATGTGTGTGTAGTGTGTATGCAGTGTGTGTGTATGTGTGTGTGTGTGTATGTATGTATGTATGCATGTGTGTTGTGTGTGTGTGTATGTATGTTATGTATGCAGGGTGTGTGTGAGTGTATGTCCGTGTGAGTAGTGTGTGTGTGTATGCAGTGTGTGTGTGTGTATGCAGTGTGTGTGTGTGTGTGTGTGTGTGTGTGTATGTATGCAGTGTGTGTGTGTGTGTGTATGTGTATGCGTGTGTGTGTGTGTGTATGTGTGTGTGTGTGTGTGTGTGTGTGTGTATGTATGCAGTGCATGTGTGTGTGTGTGTGTATGTATGTGTGTGTGTGTGTGTGCGTGTATGTATGCAGTGTGTGTGTGTGTGTATGTATGTGTATGCAGTGTGTGTGTGTGTGTGTGTGTGTGTAGTGTGTAGTGTGTATGTGTGTATGTGTGTGTGTGTGTATGTATGCAGTGTGTGTGTGTGTGTGTATGTGTGTGTGTGTGTGTGTGTGTATGTATGTATGCAGTGTGTGTGTGTGTGTGTGTGTGTGTGCAGTGTGTATGTGTGTGTGTGTGTGTGTATGTATGCAGTGTGTGTGTGTGTGTGTGTATGCAGTGTGAGTGTATGTGTGTGTGTATGTATGTATGCAGTGTGTGTGTGTGTGTGTGTATGTATGTATGCAGGGTGTGTGTTAGTGTATGTCCGTGTGTGAGAGTGTGTATGTCTGTGTGTGTGTGTTAGTGTGAGCGTGAGTGTGAGTATGTATGTGTATTTTGCACATTTGTCCATGAGTGTGTGTGTGTGTACTTGGTTTATAACCATGATATTACAATGTGAATGTTTTGTATTGTGTGGGGTTGATGCTGAATTGCAATTTTTTGTGGTTGTTGGTTGTAGAGAAGAGGAGCATAAACGGAAGGCTAAGGCTAAGGCTACTGCATTACAGGTGTCCTTTAATTTCCCTCTTCACATGCATATATATTTGAAAAAGATCGGGCTACGGGTAATGTAGCCGAAACCCCTGCTCAAATGGTGGAGGAACAAAGTCATGATCATGTTGGTGAAAGTGATATTGGAGGTGAAAATTTTGTTTCTTCAATGAACTAACAAAGCCAACAAAGCACCCCATCTGAAAATAGCCAAAGAAAGAGGAAAAGAGCTGTGGGAAGTTCAAGTGATGGAACCGAGACAATTATCAGTGGACTGAAAGATTTTTATGTTGAAAGTGGGAAGAGGATGCAAATGGTAACTGAAGCTTTAGTTCAAGGTACTGCAGATCATACTGACATAGCTAATGAACTTGAAGCAATGGGTCTCTCTCCTACGGATCAAATTGATGCATTGTCTCTTATTTTGGATAAACCAAAAAATGTGGGAGTGTTCAGGGCAATCAAACCGGAACTCAAGAAAGTGTTCGTCCAAAGGCTTTTTAAGCGACAACGCAAGCGGATGAGGATTTTGGCTAATGTTAACATGGATGTATTTTATTAATGTTAACATGGATGTATTTTATTAATCATACAATCTTATGTTATGGCTTATAACTTAGCTTTGCACTAGTATTTTGGCTTATGTTAACTAGCCATTTTGTAAATTATGGAGATCTATTTTGGCTAATGTTAACTAATGTTAACTAGGATTTTTCTAAATTATGGAGATCTTCTTATGTACTTGTATTTGTTGAAGTTGCATGTATTGGGCACTATTATTTTTCTTCTGTTGGGTGATAGAGTTTAAACCAAGCTACATTTGCAAATTAAACCCAATTCTATTAGCAGGTAATAGAAACAAAACAATTGTCAATTTTTTTTAAGATTCATAATATACATGGCAAAAATATGCTCCAATTAACCCATATCATGAGATTTGTAGCATTACTCTATTACACAATGGCAAAAATTTGTAGTCCTAGTCTAAGCAAACACAAATCTGGTGAACAGTACTGTTTTTCTTATCCTGCTTCTTAGTCCGACATTACACCAAACGCTTCACTAAGTTAGTCCAGCTTAGTCCAGTCTAAGCCAGTCCAGTTTAGTTCCGGCAGCTAGTTCAGTTCGAGACAGTCTGGCGCAACAAACGCACTCTAGAAGCTTAAAATATCAGAGAAACCTTCGAACCAATATCCTTTTCGAACCAAATATCCTCTCCTGATCTATCTTTCTCCTTTTGAAATGAGTTGTAATAATTGGAGAATCCTTTTGCTACAGTAGTGTTTGTACCACTGATTTTAGATGCAAGTTCGTTTCAAGCATTTGAAGAGTGGACCGCAGTACGCACGGCCGCGTCTACTCCAGCGCTCATGAGCGAAGCTGCGTCTCACGATATTAAAAAACAACTTTGAATTTGTGGAGAAATTTAACAAGAATGGGAAAGGATTTACCGTCGGCCTCAATCATTTTGCCGACTTGACTACTGAAAAGATCACCGACGGTTACTACTGTAGACGAGTGCAGTACTCTGATTCGGCCACTAGAATGACAATCTCAGACAATGCTGTTGCTGTCGAAAACATCGACAACAGTACATGCAGCAGCATCGATTGGGTCGAATATGGAGTAGTCACCCCAGTAAGGAATCAGAAAAAATGTGGTCCGTATATGTAACCATATTTAGCATGCATATTGCGCTGAATTTTTTTTCAACATATTTACTTCAGTTTTGAATTTATGCTTGACCGCATTTTGGGATTGAATAAAAGAAATTAAGGAACCGAAGAAACCAAATTATATTCTCTTGTTATCGACCACTGAAGAAACTCTCATCTTTTGGCATATTTTTCTGTGGTTGAGCAGCAGAATAAGTGTTAAAGTTGGGGTTAAGTGTGTGTCAAATAGATGTGCAGAAGATTTGAAGTCAATTTGGTTGTCATTATTTAAATTGTGAAATTAAGTTTCGAATGTTGATGGCATGTTGTTGGGCGTTTGCCGTAGTAACCGGAATAGAAGGAATTTATGGAACACAAATGGGGATGGACAAGATGGTGCCATTGTCCCCGCACCAGCTTGTGGATTGTGACGAGTTTAGTAATGGCTGCAAGGGTGGCCTCGAGGATTACGCATATGAGTAAGTCTCCGAGAGAGGGATCGTGAGTGAGGCCAGTTATCCTTACAAGTCAAACAGAGGCGAATGCAACCAGGGGATATTAGAAAGTCTACCCGTTGTCACCCGAATCAATAGCTATCAACCTGTGTTGCCGAGGGACGAGGAGGCCCTGGCAAGGGCTGTGTGTCAACAGCCGGTGACCGCTGGGATTGATCCCGGAAGCGCAGCTTTTGTTCTTTACAAAGGTGGGATTTTTACAGACGAGTGTGGAACTAATTTGACACACATTGTAACCATAGTCAGTATCGGAAGGGACGAGCCTGGCACCGAATACTGGAGAATCAAGAACTCATGGGGCAAGGAATGAGGAGAGGGAGGCTACATGAAACTGCTTAAAGGTTGTAGCCCGAATGGGCTGGCATTACCATGGATGCCACCTATCCAGTGATCGATTGAAAAGTTATAGAATATCAATCTTTATATATAAGTCTTATATACATAAGGAGACTGTTTGACGATGTATATGTGGTTAAGACAGGGCTGGCCCTGAAAAATTGGGACCCTAGGCTAGCCTTCGAATGGGGGCCCTAAAGTTCTTTGACACCCGACTCGTTGTACATTTATATGTATAAGAAAAGGTTTCACTAAATACATGAAAAAGTTCATTTCTACATAAAAAATTATTAGAATTCATATCCAAAGAAGAAAAATATGCAAACATTACTTAAATATTACACGTTTCACGTTTTTAGACGCAAATGTACTAATTAAGTTTATATAATCTAACTTTTCAACCAATTCTTTTTCAATTGACAAAATAGCTAACCCATTCAATCTTTCTTGTGACATAGTTGATCGAAGATACGATTTGATTAACTTTAATTTTGAGAAACTTCTTTCTGCAGAGGCAACTGTAACTGGTATGGCTAACAAAATACGATAAGCAACCCATGCATTCGGGAAACAACCATCCATTTGTCTTATATATTTCAGCACTTCCATTGCCTGATTTATTTCCTTTGGCAAAGTTTCTCTCAAGATTCTTAGCTCTATAAATAAGTCATTTCCATCAATATCAGAATGCTCACCATGTTTCAGAAATCATTCAAGATTGATACAAAACTCTTCAAGCTATCATAGTCTACATCTTTTAACTTCTTCAAATTAAACAAAAGCCCAAATGTTTCTTTGTATTACTGAAATTGTTCAAACTTGATATGAAGTGAAGTCCGAGCTTGATCAACTATATAAATGAAGTAATCAATTCTAAAAGCTTCAATTGCTGATTGTGTTGCCACTTCACTAGCACTCTCATCAAACTGTTTCTTTCTTCGAATGATGCGTTTCTCACGAAAAACAGGCTCAATCTCCATCTCACTTGCTATTTTCTTAGCTTCATTCATTGCCTCTTCAAATCCAGTTTCTCTATACCGATCAAGAATGGATATAAGCCCTTTCAATTGATCAATAACAACATCAATATGCATGTCTTCTTTTTGAAGAGTTTTGCTAACAGTATTAATATCAAACAACAATTCATGCCAAATAACATACCTAACAATAACTCAAAATTCTCCAGCTCATGGATTGCTAGGGATTTGACTTCACTCTTTGACTTAGGATCTTCATTAGTATTTGCCAAGTGAATCAAAGCATCTCTTATTTGTTGAGCACTTTCTCTTATGGGTTTAACACTTTCAATATGACTTTCCCAACGAGTTTGTGACAACGGTTTAATGGTGTGACTTCCTTGCACATGATCTATAAAAACTTTCCATCGGTTTGTTGAGGATGTGAACAATGTATATATACGTTGTACCACTCCAAAAAAAGACATAGCTTTAGGACAACAGTTGACCATATCACAAAGTGCAAGATTAATGCTATGACAGCCACATGGAGTGTAGAATGCTCTAGGATTTATTTCAAGTACTCTGCTTTGCACGCCTTTATTTTTGCCTTTCATATTGAACCGTTGTCATAACTTTGTCCCTTTATGTCATCAACATCAAGTTCAAGAGTGCTCAATGCACCTAAAAGCACATCAAATAGTGCATGCCCTGTTGAGTCATGTACATTCAGAAATTCCAAAAAGAATTCTTCAACCTTTATTGGAGTTTTTGTAACATCCACACCTTATTATAAGAGACATTTGATCTTCTTGACTAGCATCTGGAGTGCAATCAAGTATCACTGAAAAATACTTTGCTTATCTAATTCTTGCTATGATTTCACTTTTGACCTCACTTGCCAACAATTGTATCAATTCATTTTGAATCTTGTGACCAAGATAATGGTAATGAGTCTCATGTGTATCAATACGCCGAATGTGCTCTTGCATTTTAGGATCAAATTCAGCAATCATTTCAATCACATTTAAAAAATTTCCATTATTCTCTTCATACAACTTCTCAATGTCTCCACGAAATGCCAAAGTAACTTTTGCAAGTCTTTTCACAACAACAATTATCCTCCATAACACTTGTCTCCAATGTTCTTTCTCTTTGCTGATTTGTTGTTGCACACTTTCATCAATTGTTTTACATTTTTGCAATCTTCTTTCCAATTCAATCCATTCACTCATGTAGTGAATGTGTTCCTTGCTAGTTTCATGAGTTGTAAGCATGTGACTAATATTCTTCCAATCTTTAAAACCCTCATTATCTATGTAAGTCTTGATTCCAATTTGCTTGGATAACTTGCAACAAAAACAAAATACTGTATCCAAAGAACATGAGTACACTAGCCACTTCCTATCTTACGTCTCCCCATTAGGCAATTTTCTAATGTAATGTACAGAAGAAAAATGCCTATCTGAATTATCTTTTGGAAATGCTACATCATCAACTCTTTTAGGACCTCTTTCCACTAACATGTCCCTAAGATTTTGATCAATCTTATCCCAATTCCTTGGATCATCAATATTCAAAGGAAAGACAATTTCATTATCTTTACCATTCTCATTAGCTTCATCATGTTCTTCAATGTCAGTCTCAATCAGAGGTTCATCTTCTTGCTCTTTACTACCATCGTCAGATATAGGCTCACATCGCTCATCTTGCTCTTCGTTATTAGTCTCAGTCATGAATTCATTTTTTCCCCATCTTGCTCTTTATTAATGCTTCTTCATTTTCCTTATTTCTTCTTTTTTGAGACCCAGAGAGATACTTTTTGTTTCTGTTAGTGGGCTTACTATTTCTAATAGGAGGCATGATAATCAACTCTTTTTCAATCAGGAAATCACAACCCCACAATCAACAATCAACTCAATATTCTGTAAACAACAAATTGACAAAGAAACAAACTAAAATTCAAATTTCACCTATTACCCAACACAAAAGTTTGATACAAATGACACAACACAAAATGAGGCGCATAAAAAATACGGTAAAATTCAATATCGAAACTTTGAATTATCTTGAACCAAAACTAGTTAGGAAGCAAAAGTAACCAACCTTGTTAAGTGCGTCCATAATCCAATTATCTTCTTGAAGGGATTTAACCACTTTGTTAAGTGCATCCACAAGTTCGAATTTTATAACTACAATATAGACACTTGACAAGTGAATACTCTGATTTCGCATAAACAATAAGCATTAAAATAAACAATCTTAAACCCTAAAAAAATCGAAAATCCTAATTATATTTACAAACACTTACAAATTAAATTATAGAAAAAAAGGCATAAGAGAAGAGAAGCATTTATCAGTGAGGTTACCTATCCTCTGCAAGTGGGAAAGAACTGATTTGCTGCATTCGCAGGGCAGGACCGGCAGGAGCAGAGTTACAGATTGCCTTGTTAGTTGCTGCGTTAAATGCCAAAGAAAAGGGTTGAATTGTTGCTGAAGCTTTGCACCCCACCCAAGACACTTTGCACATCAAGTTTCAACTTTCAAGACTATTATATGATTTTATACTTAAATATTTTATTAAATTCAAACTCTAAAAATATATTTATATATTATTATATAAATATACATACTTAAGAAATATTTTGGGCCTTCCGGCCCTTCCCGAGTCCAAAAGCTGCACAGCAAGTTTCAATTTTTTAATTTTTAATTTTTATAATTTCATATTTAGATATTTTACTCAAACTACAAAATTTTTTTTATATATATATATAATTGTTATTGGCTTTTCAAAATTTTAATGGAATACGTTCCAAATTTTCTATATTTGAAAAAAAAATATTTGTAAAAAATGTAGGACAAGATTTTTAAAGTGTTAATAATATATATATATATATATATAAATTTGCCCCCCCCTCAAAGTGGGGGCCCTAGGCGCCCACCTACTCGGGCTACTCCCAGGACCGGCACTGGGTTAAGGATATGTTAGCTTGGATTTATGGATGACTTTTGTTAAAGATCTGTTAGTTTTATTAATTACATGGTTATTTTATAAGAAAAACTAAAGAAAAGAGCTTGAAAATTTTGAGTTTTAACGATAAAGACAAAATAAAAAGTAAAGTGAATAGTATCATAATTGACTTTTTAGTGTAAAAATATGATTTTTCGTTAAAATGAACAATACTGTGAGCTTTTCGTTAAAGTTCCCTATTTTATAATATGCAAAACCATCTGTTTCAATATTTTCACCCAACTGATTTTTTAGAACTTATATAAACCAATAAGTACACCACAACTTTCCAAATATAACCTAAGAATTTTTGCAAGTTTCGCCCACACAACCAAACTCCAACGCACTAACCTAAGAATCTGTAAGTCATCACCAATGGTTCAGGAGCAGAATTTTTCAGTAAAGATCGCATGAAGTGATGATCCCACAAAACTTATGGTTCTATGCCATACGTGTATTTTAAACACAATACGTGTGCCTATGGTATAAAATATCGATGATATCGGAAATATCGATAGTCCAAAAACATGGAAATTTCAATGGAAATATCGGGATATTATCGATATCAATAAAAATTGATTAAAAACCGCGGAAATTGTAAGAAAAACTTGAAAATTTTTATTGAAACTTTGGAGAATGTTTATTTAGTCAATTATCTATTAGTTTATCAAAAAAATTAGAAGGAAATGCATTACATGATGGATTTAACTGATTTAAGTTGATTATACAGCGAGCTGGCAAACACTGTGAGTGTAGAAAATATGTAGTAATTAATGAAAAAAAGATTAAACACACCATAATCATTTATATATAATGATTTAATACAATATTTTACACTTTATACATTGCATGGTAAGATACATGAGTGATTTAGTACCACAAAAAGTTCCTACGAGGTTCAAAATTTTCACTATCTTCATCATCTCTATGTGTAGAGTAAGTTTATTGTAAAGAATATTCATCAAATGATAAATCTCCAAAATAGTTTTGCATGTAATTGTTAACATG